AAAATCAACATTAATCTTAAAGTCATTATGAAGATCCATAGCAAAACCAAAGTTACATCTTATTGCAAATATTTAAAAGATGCAATGCTATGTACTGATTTTTTTTTCTTTCAAAAAAGGTGAAGATCACCCAATGACAGGCCTAGATTTAAAGTGATCAGTTCTTTATCTTTTTCTCCACCAACTGTGCAATAGCAAGATTTCATCTGAATTGATAGCTTGGAAAAAAAGACTAAGGAAAGGAACTCTTCAGCCTGTGTGCAGTCAAAATATGGATTTCCTTAATTCAGGAGATACAAATTCTGGTTTCAAATCTAATAAAGAGTTCCTGGGTAATTTACTGAAAGCCAACATTTGTTGCATCCCGTACTCAATTAATCTTGTGCTTCAAGACATGAAACTGTAATTTTCCCTGAGGAAAAAGAAGGTGTTTTTTCTCTGTGACACAGTAACGTGACAGTGTGATAGGTTCAGTGTAGTAAAATAAATAAAAAATATATAAGGAAAGAATCATTTAAAATTTTTTTTTAGAAAAATATTTCCTAATTCAAGCTTGAATAAACAAATTTAAGCATTGATTTTTTAAATATACCTGTGTAGAGTTGTGTTGTTTTACGTTCTATTCAAGTTTTATTGCGTTTATACTTTGTACACGGTTTGTTCAATGTTCACCTACGTTGCAGTTTGTTCGTTCCATGTACCCCCTAATTATGTTGGTTCCATCCCTAGTTTCCCGCCTTCCTTCCCCTGTCAATCCTCCCCAAAAGTGCAAAGTCATTCCCCTGTCCCCTCCCAGGGTCCCTGTCCGTCATCCGGCGTCCCTGCCCCTCCATCCAGAATCTTCTACCCAGGGCGTCGGGTGATTGGGCACAGCCCTGGGGCCCCTCCCTCATCCCTTTCCTATTGGCCCTTCTCTAAGAGCGAGCCACTCCCTGAAGATTCCCATTGGTCCCAGTTTTCTCCGCCCATGCACTACAAAAGCCTCTGTCACCCTGTTCCAAGTGCCTCCTCTGGCAGGCACCAACCCTGTTAGTTGGATCCTCATTCCTGCGTTGTCCCTGTTGGGACTTAATAAAGCGGATTTTGGCCCCCAGAGGAGGACTCTCTTCTTCCTTACGCCGCGGGGATTTTCGGCTGCTTCTCCAAAAACCCAAACAGCGCTCTCCAAAGCCCACAGAGGTCCAGCGGGGAGTGCTGGAGACCTGCCCGCTCTCTCCCTCACAGAGAGCTAGCCGGGGGCGAGAAGACAGGCTTGAGGGGGAGAACTCAGCATACCTGTTTTCTGTTGTGTCATTTACATTACATTACTTATGAACGAGCAGACAAATTCCATGAATAAAATTCCACTGAAAAAAGCTGACCTGGGTTAAAAACAGACCCTTTAGAATTTAAGACTTGTTGGCAAATCAGACTATACCTATCAACAAAGAATAGGGTCTAGGAACTGAGTCCCAGAAAGAAATCCATTTGGGATAAAAACTTCTTTCCTCTGTATTTTGAAGCTGAGACCAAGGCCTCTGCAACAAGAGAGAGGGAAGTCACAGATATGGTGCAGAAAGAATTTTGCTTGATATTAAGGACCTCTGCTTGTGGAAAGAGGGAGACTATGGACTACAGTGTCTCTTCCTTGCTGATTATAATTAAGTGCTGAATCAGTGCATTCTTTGAAGCAAAAAGACATGTGCAAACACGAGATGGTGAGGACAGATAAGGATATGCAGAAGTCTGTAATATCAGAATTTCTTTTTAGAAGTGAGCAGCCTAAAATCTGCCAAAGACTGCTTGGAAAAGAATAGATTTGTTAATTTCCAGCCTCTTCTAATCTGCATTTTCTGTTTACACAGGTGGCATATAATTTCATCCTTTTTTATCAGTCAGAAAAATTAATAAATAAAGATCTGCCCAAGACATCAAGAGGCACTCCATAATATGAAAATCTTTCCATCAAGACAGCAGAGTGTTCAAAAAGTTTGGTAAACTCACTTCTAAACTTTTAAAATCTACATGGCCTTTTACAGAGGGCAGGACACAAGAATTACTTTTGCTCTTAAAATCCAACATTACATAATTCTCCTCAATTGTATGGCTGCCTCAACAAAGCTTCTCTAAAGTGTTCCTGCTGAACATATAATTGCTGTAACTGTCAGGTTCTTGGTGGTGAAATTACCAAGATTTATTGCCTTGCTGAAAAGTATTTGTGGAAAACTAACACCCAGATGTTTAGCAGCACTTTTATTTGAGAAGCATGCATGTCTGTTCATTCACAGTTATTGTGAGCTTCTAAGAAAATATAAAATTATAGACTGGAGAAAATATGTGTTCTTTGCTTTAGAACTTACAAAAGCTCAGATAACATTTTAAATAAATTTTATTAAAATTATTAGGCATGTAAATTTTAATTAAGAGTTTAATATAAGCCAGTATCTTACAATTACATTGTAATTATTACATACTATAGGACTATCTTCAAGTTATGATTTTATTTATAATTTAGTTTTAAAATATTACACATACATTTTTGGCAAAGATTTATTGCTTACAGAGAATAATTCCTTGCAAATGCAATGCTGAAGACCACTTCAATGAGTCACTTGGCCTTCCTGTAATGTTCATACACTTGAAGAGAGACTGGGACTTTTTACAACTTTAGCTGCTGCTGAGCAGAAAACATGATGTCTACCAGAGAGAACAGATTTAAATCTTAGTTCTACTAGTCTTAAACCTAACTTTCTCTCTGACAGCATTATTAATATCAGTATGGTCCATGATTTAGGGCTTCATTCAGTCATGACTGAAGACAATCAGTCTCTTAACTGATTTCACTCGCAACTCTACCAAGTTCTTAACAGTTTTACAGAAATGGACAAGAATGATGTAATTACTTCCTTTTTGTACTGTGGGCTTTCAATCAGTAGATTAAATCAACACCAACAGCTAACTACAATCACAGAACAAGATAATTGCTCACATTATATGTTAGAGTTCACTGCGAAAAGCAAAGTAAAGAAATCTCCACTCATATTAATAGGACCAATTTAAAACTAGAAAATGTCAGATTACATCTGCACTCAGCCTGAGACAGTAGCTTTGTGTGTAATTACATCCAAAACTAATTATCTTGTCAAATCACTACTACTCTTTAAAGTAAAATAAAAATGTGATGAATCAGTTCATATTTTCCAGCAACACTGGAAAATTTTCCAGCTACTTCCTCTACTCTGACTGTAAATTATGGAGTGTCTTCCAGCAAGTGACATCTAGAGCAGAGGCTCACCGACTGACATCCTGAGCTACAGAAATCATTAGCAGCCCTTGGAAATTCTGGAGGTAAAATCCAAAGTGAGAGGACTGGAGGCACTTCCCTTTCTCTGTAAGCCTCTGTATGTTGTAAAGGGAAACCTTTCTTACCAGCCTCAACTCCTGTGAGCCCTAGTATGCCCCTCTCAAGCCTTGGCAAGTCTGTTTTTCTCATTAGTCCATGAAGGTAAAAGTTTAAAGCTTGGTGTTTGTTGTTAAGAATCCAGTAATTTAGAATTACTGTTTGTTATTAAGAATTCAGTAATTTAGAATTCTATTCTTGAAAATAATTTAAAATTTTGAAGGATTATGTTCCATTTGTTTGGATCTAACCTTCTCAATCTTGAGTTTTATATGGTTCTGGAAAGGTAAAAAACCAGGCTTACAGGGGATATTTATTTGCCCTACAGAGCAATTGTCAGTGCTACGTAAGAAGTGAGTGACAGACTGATTTTGCATAAAAGCATTGCAAGGAACAACCAAGTAGACATAAGTATGGCACAGGGCCTCCACTCATGAAATATTTTGCAGCACACTAAGTCAGGAGCTGAGACACATGACAACAGAAAGACATCAGTCAACATCAGTACTGCAAATTGTCTTTTCACAGAAACAGCATTTCACAGCAGCTGTAACAGACATTTCTTCATCACATATATTTCAAACCTTCAAAGTCTTACCTCACTAAACAAATCCAGATCCATTGCTAAACGTCAAAAGCAATGTAGCGCTTCACTGCTACCATACAGAAATAGATCTAAACATAAAACCATCTGTTTCCTAAGGAAAAAACTAAATCCCACACACCATTTAGCACCATCTCTATTTCTTCACAGTCTGTAGTTAAGTTTTCAATTTCTTAATTCAATGATAAGTTAGCAGAAGATATTCACAATTAAATTAGATTTTCCAACTCTAAAACAACAGGTTAATCCATCACATTCAAAAATGCCTCCTACTCAAAATGTAAGTCAGGAAAAGCTTATTATCTGTAGATTTGGCTCTATATTAAAATTCTGAGTGACAGACTCTAAATACACTTGAGAGTGTATTGACTCTCAATACAGTTGAACTTGAGCTTTGCAATGTATCTTTAAAGAGTGCAAAGCAAAAATGTGGCTATAGTAATTAAATGATCCCTGGTGCAAGATGTTCTTATAGTGAATACTAACCACTCAGTCACATTTGATCTTGTTTCACAGAAAGGTCTTTTTCCATAGACTAGTTTGCATTTCAGGTAATTTTATATCTGGCCTTAGAAAGATCTTCTGGGATTCAGCCAATTACGCTCTTAAATTGATACCTTTATGTAATATTTCTACAAGACACACTGTATTCCCCAAAATGTAAAGATCACACAGCACTGAATTTTGAAGTACATAGCACCTATGAGATTTCATTTCATATCTACATATTGAGTATAAATACTGCAACATGTTTTGTTTAATATAGGCTGTCTCATAAAAAGGCAAATCACTTTTACGCAATGGTTAAATCAGAATTATCTTGAACATGTAAAAAAATGAAGAGTACACAATTTGGCTTCATTACATTATCCAAGAGTTCTTTAAAAGCTTTATTAATGATTTTTTGATAAGCACCATTCAATACTTAGATTATGTTGATTGATACTATTACGTATTTAAGTAATTCCTCTACAAACATCTTGGCTAAACAAAAACAAAACAACAAAAAAGTAAGTACAGATGTGACAGACTACTTTCAAAAGCATTTAACTCTCTGTTTAATGAAAGAATTTATTTCTGAGGAATATACATTTATAATTTCCTCTGTACTCATTTTCCTTTTTGCATTTTGTTTCTTAAAGTCAGCAGTGTCAAGAGTTTATTCATACAAGCTCTCAAATTGATTTATTTTAAGTGACTAGGCACTGATATTTTTGGATTCTGTTACAAGCTTCTTCCTTATCTTGTCATATAACTTTGATCAAAGTCATTTGCACTCAAAATTTAAGGAGTCTCTACTTCTGCTTGCTCCTGCTGAGAAACATGGAGTGTCATCGCCAGACGTAATGAATATCTAACAGGTTCAATTTGTTTCATTTGAAGCTTTAAGTGTTCAGCAAATATGGAGATAAAAACAGATTCAAAGGCAGAAGACTCCAAAAGTCATAAAGCAGGCAGAAGTCACTGATACCGCTTAAGGCAGATATGATATTAATGATGAGAAAGGAAATTTGTACAGAAGCTGTCTAATGACAGGACATGAAGCACACACACACCAAGCAGACTAATGAAGGGGACAAAAGACTCCCTCAATATTTCTGTTTCCTGACACCTCCAATGAGTCTTCATCTGACTGTTAAAATCAGATCTTGATGTCTTCACATGTCATGCTTTTATCTAGGAGGAGAATATAGCAATATTTCTCAGACACAGACTTACCACAGTAACACAGACTTTCCAACATTTGCAATGTGAATTCTGAAGGCTGCAAGACATTGTATAAGCATACAGTACCATTCCAGCCTCTGTGCTAGATTACAGGCTGATCCTGTTTGGGCCAGGGCATGAAACTTGTCCTTTTGTCCTGTGCTTCGTCACTTTCATGACTGTGTACCACGCTCAGACACTACCACGGCAGTGTTCCCTTCCCCACTTCCCAGACAACCAGTGACAGGATAGGAGTATATAGTCGAGGTCTTTCCCACCCTTAGGGTCGCCGTGGCACCGAGCCCGGCGGGCGCGGCCCGCGCGGCGGCGGTCGGAGCGGGAGCGGGAGCGGGAGCGGGAGCGGGAGCGGGAGCGGGAGCGGGAGCGGGAGCGGGAGCGGGAGCGGGAGCGGGAGCGGGCGGCCCTGTGACGTGGCGCCCCGGGGTTGCCATGGTGCCGTGAGGGGCCGCCACAGCCGCGGCCATGGCGCCGCCCGCGCCGCCCCCCTCTCGCGTTTTCGCCGAGCTCGACCTGGCCCCGTCTCCGGCCCCGGAGGGACGCGTCGAGCCTCCGGCGCTGCCCGGGCGGGAGGTGCATGTGAGCGGCAGCGCGGAGCTGAGCGCCCGCCCGGACCGGGCGCGGGTGTCGCTGCGGCTCGGCAGCCGCAAAGAGGCGGCCGCGGCGGCGCGGAGCAGCGTGTCCCGCCGGCTGCAGTACATCGCCCACAGCGCCCGCCTGCACGGCGTCCCGGTGAGCTCCGCCGCCCGGGGCCCGCTGAGGTGCCGGGGCGTCCCCAGGGGGAAGGCGAGGGGGGACAGCAGGCGGGGCAGTTCCCGGTTCGCGGGGCAGTTCCCGGTCCCGCTCGGCAGCCGGCGGGGTGCGGGCCCGTCCCGCCGGAGCGGCCTGAGGAGCGGCGCCCGCGGAGGGCCTCGGTGCCGGCGGGAAGCAGGGGAGTGACGGGTTTGGAGCTCTCGGTCCTCCGCCTCGGGAAGCGCTGGGAAAGCCCTGCCTGTCTTTGGAAGGCTGCAGCCATGCCGGCCCCAGCGGAAAAGGCGGAATGTCGCTCCCCGGGCTTGCCAACAGGTTGCTTGTTGAGCATGTGGGAGCCATCCTCCTTCGACTCCCACGGTGGTGGAATCGCCGTCCCTGGAGGCTTTAGAGAAAAGGCTGGACGTGGCTCTCAGTGCCATGGTCTAGTTGACATGGTGCTGTTCGGTCTAAGGGTGCACTCTGTGATACCACAGGTCTTTTCCAGCCTAATTCTGTGATTTGTTCGTGTAATACAGCATTCGCCCGTGCATGCGAGTGAAACTGATAAAGTTGTGCACAGCAGCCTAACCTGTACCTGTGTGTGTCAGAGTAACTCTGATTACCAGAGCTTAGCATCAAATACATAGAGAGCTCTTTCCTCTCTCTCTTTCTTGTTCTACTTAAGTAGAGAGGTTTTGAAAAACATGGGATATGATCAAGATAGCTGAAGTGACAAAAGCCCCTTGTGGACCCAAAAAGTTCCTTTACCACAATGAGTTTTTTAGCTTCTGGAAGTGATTTTGCAAGAATGAAAAAATCATAGTCTTGCCTTTAAAGCTTTGTCCAAACAGTAAATGCTCTATAAGGGTGATATTTGTCGTAACAATTGTGCTGATGATGTTTTTGGATTGCACAAAAGAGTTTTGGACAGTGTTGCACACATAGGGCTCTTAAAAACAGAAAAAAAAAAAAAGAAGAAAAAAAAAAAAAAGATCTTTTATGGACTAAGCAGTTGTTTTCAAAAGTTACTTCTTATTGAAGTTCCGTAGGAAGTTTGTGCCTTTTGAGTGTATTCACAGATAAGCTGGAGGAAAAGGGTGATGATAGAGTTTGCTATGAATACAAGATTATTCAATGGAGTAAAAAAGAATTGCAGAAGGGTTTCCTGATACTGCATGGAGTTACAGTGCAAGTCAGAGTTAGTAAATGCAAAGTAAGAGCATAAGTTACTCGGCCTAAACAGTGATGTGCCCACAGTGAAATTGCATGCCCACATTTCAAATGCTGCATGTGTTTGAAGATAAGTACTGGCACCAACTTTTCATTTCCCAAACGAAATAAGATTACCTGGGTTTATTTTGAACTGTTTTGTGGTGTATGAAACATCTATACAAATTGTTCAGGAATAAAGAAGGCAGTAAAGAAGACCACGTAGCACCTGAAAAAGCTCATATTGCAGCTGTGGGATTGGATGACAAGGGGACATGGAGGCTGCTTTAGGCTAGGTATTGATAATGGCTGGGTGCATGTCTGTCACAGGCAGCATTTGTCATGGGTTCCATTGCCATCAGGATGACTCATTCCGCCAAAACTGGTGCATTTTTGTAAGGGATTACAGGTTAAATGCCTTCAGTGTCTATTAAATGAGTTAACAGGAGTTTATAGTGCTGAATTTTAAGAGGAATGGGAGAAGACAAAGCAATTCAGTATGCATTCATTCTTATTAGTAGAGAAAATGTTAACCTTTGTACCCACCAACATGGTGAGCCATCAGATTATGGGGCATTTTCATCCTGACTGTAATTTGATAGCTCTTCAGAGCGTGGCTATATTAGAAAAGATAGTTGCAGATATTTACCCTACAGTGAATCTGAACAACTGATTTCCAGTTTTGACTTGATACTGATTGAATTGGGACAGCAAGGAGCATCCAACGTGTGGCGGCTGGCATACAACAAGAGTAATCAGGGTGTTAAATAGCTGAGTGTGCTTTAGAGGGGCTGTGTGCACCACTCCAGGCTAGAAAAAATGATTGGAAACTGAAGTATGACTTGGACAAACAAATAGTTTTGTTTGGGCTTATAACAGTCAGGTTCAGAAAAGTAATGTCAGCAGGCAAGCAGGGTGGAGAGTGGGCTGTTTTTACAATGTGAGAATATTCGGTGTCTTATTATAGTTACAATAATTTCACAGTAATCTTTTTCTGTTTCAAAGATGCTGTGTGTTGGAGAATGGAAATGTTATTTCCACTTAGTTGAGAGACTGTGAAATGCTGCTTGAGTTGTGGGTTTGTCAGTGTTAGCAAAGTGTTAGCTCTAGGGAACTCTGAGAAAAACAACATGAAGTTATTTTTTTTTCAGAGTAGTTCCCCACGGTATAATTTTTAGTGCTTTGTTTCATCCAGTTTTAAATCACTCTACTTCTGGAGCTTTTATTTGCCTTGCAGCTTTTCCACTAACAACTCTCACTGCTGGCAATTTGTTCTTAACTGCATTTGCTAACTTCACTTGCAGCTAATACCATTCTAGACAACTGTAAAATTAATCTCTCTTCAAAGTCTCCATATGGTTCTAGTTGTTGCAGGCTTATCTAAGGCCTCTTTAGAAATCATCTAACTATGCTATATATTTATTTTTAATTAATCCACAGAACAATTTTCTTAACCCTTATTGTTGCTATAGTAGGAAGTCTGTGAGATCAGAAGTGCATAACCTTTGCAGCCGCAGGAGCTTGCATTAGCAGCTTGTCAGTATGCCTGGGGGCAGCACCTGATTTCCATATACATTTACACAGGATTTTAATCAGAAATAGATGCACATAGTGGCATTTATTTATAGAGTGCTGTAAGTATATGCAGCACTTCAGAGCACAGAATGTGGTTTCCCCATTGATTTTTCTTTCCCTGCAGCCTTCAAAGCAATCTCCCTTAATCAGCTCAGCTGCTCAAAAGTAACATTTTCTTCTCTTTCGCTAGAAGCAAACAAATTTTATATTTGCCACCTATGATTTATTTGGGGAGTGGTGTGGAGATGACACTTGTTTTCTTTAATGGCTATATCTAACAGTTGGCATTGGCACCTTGTTCAAAAATAATATTTGTAGTACCTATCAGAGTGTTACAAAACAAAACAAACCATCTAGCCAACTATATCTGGGAGGCTCTGGGTTAGAGATTGTCTGAACTGGGATACGTCCCTTGGATTTATGTGCAACATTCTCCATATTTCAAAACTTAATTCAGGAGTCACAGTTATGGATGCACATGCATACAATCAGTTTTAAAAGGTTTTAAAGTTTGCTCACTTAGTTTCAAAATCTTCCAATGTCAATATATCCCTGACTGAAGGTAAAAACCTTTGTAAGGCATCACCTTTTTTATATTACCACGTATTTAAAGAAATTTCTCCAGAGTACCCTGCATTTGCTGAGTACAAGTATGCTTTTTGTCCTTCTTGTAATAACTGTTATATATACGTCCGTTATTTTTTCTTTAAGCAGCAGAAACTTTCCACCATAGGTTTTTGGGTTATTGTCCTGTCATCTCACGCCAAACAGACCAAACTGTGGGGATGAGAGGCTGGAGCACAGTTACCCAATCCCAGAAGGTGCTCACCATCCTTATCTGTCTGGAGACACTGTGGATGACTGTCAGGAGACAGAAGCATACATCAAGACTCTCATTAACCATTTCTATAGTGCCAAAAACAAAAATGACATGATCAGATGGAAGAAGTAACTCTTTTGATTGTTCAGATATCTTTATTTTTCTTTATAATGTAAAGTTATACTGGCTATATCAGTTCAAATGTACGAGTAGATCTTAAGAGACATTTTCAAGTGTCTCCAGATACTTTTTATTTACAGTTACACATATCAGTATACATTACCCAATGGGCATTAGCATACATTCCAAACAATAAACGCTTTCCCTTGCTCAGGCTTGGTTATGTGTCATAAAAACGTCTCATAGTTTTGTTAAGTCATTAGCCAGGAGCAGAACACATAATTTTATGTGCAGATGGGCTGTTCTCTTAGTGTGTTGTTGCATATTGTCTCCTCGAAGCATGCTTTTACTGACTTACTCATTTATTTTTTTCCCTGTTCTCTTCTGGAGAAAAGAGCAGTCATTCCTATAAGAAGCTAATGTCATTGAACGTGGGCACAATGGTCCTGTGACTAAGACATTGTTCAGAAGTAGCAGATATGAGGAAGGGCTATAAAAGGTTGTGTTCAGTTGAAAAGAGTGAAAATATAAAGCAAAATATATTTCTATATTTCAATGGGGTATTGACTATCTTTTTCATTTTAGTTTTAGAGTGCCTGAAGCTGTGATGTGATGCCACGCAAAAAATAGGCTTTAGAAGCAGAATTCAAGTGTGATTCTGTTCAGAGTGGTTCAATGGCTTCTGGGTTGATTGAGATAACAATATTGTTATATCCATTTAACTATTTTTTGTGATTCTTGGCCCACAGATTTAGCAAATGGAGAAAGTTATTTCAGATGTCCAGAGCACCTGAAGTGCAGTTTCCCTAAGTCACAGTGAAAAGTATTTATTCTGTGGCTATTGCAATCAAATGGGTATTTCCTCAGCCAAAATATGAATAGTAGACATAAACAGTAGGGAAGAAAAAGTTTTGCTTTTGAAGAAGTCTCAGTCTTGATTCCAATTTAAAATTCTTTTGTCTCCTACCTGTGTTTTCCATATCTTTGTGTAAACACAGTCACTAATGGAAGCGAAGTATCTAACAGAAAATGTATCACAGAAGGCCACCTTGTTATGACTTCAGCAATTATTTCGTCCATTTATCTTCAGCAGCACATACAACTAACTGTCAAATTTGGTGGGATTAAAATGAGCTGTGAAGGAAATTTTGTAATACATTGTGCAAAATGATCTTTCAGTCCATAATATTGATCTTGCCATAGCACTTGGTACCACGGGATGGCAGTGTCCTTAAATGCACAGGAACCTTGAGAGGGCACAGCCAAATTCCAAGGCTTGGATCTACTCAGCAGGAAAGAAAACCTGTTTTTAAAAAGGATTAAGGAGAGGGGACCAGGGAAAACAAATGCATTTTTTCTGTGTTTACAGTTGTGTTACAGCACAGCTATTTCTCTAAGATACCAATTGTAGTAGTTTGTGTTTTCTGTGTGGTAATTTCAGTAAGATACATGAAACCTCTGGGGAAAAATCTTTCTTGGTAATTGTAATTGGATTCTATCATAAATAGTAAGATTTACCCAATCTTGTAAATTAAATGAGCTGTTGGTGCTAGACTGTCTTGATCACTCTTTAACAAATCCAGCCAGCCACATAAAAGAAAAAAATACAGCTTTCATGGGCTACTGGCCCTTGCTAATCCTTGCCCTTACTGGAAGAGATTTTCTGAAAATATCTAAAATTCAGACTGTTGTGCTTGAGCACTACCAATCAATCATGATACAATTTTGAAATTTCAGGTTTTTGTGCTTTTATTCAATGGTAGTAAAACCATATAATACTTTAAAAGGAAAATGCTTCTCATAGTTAATGTTATTTGCATAAACTTATGCATGCATGCATGCTACATGATAAACTTGAAGACTTGAGCATCTGTAGGAAATACTCTGACACAAAGCATCTTTTGTATGTCAACATTGAAGGCAAATATTTCCTATGCAAATAAATCTTGTAAATAAAACTTTAGTAACTGGAAGGCTGGGTATCTGCTTTACTATAGTTCATGAGTGTTACATGCAAAGCTGCAATTAAACTGTAGGCTGTGCTTTTTTGCTATTTAGAGTAATTTCACAATAAATTGTTCATTCAAACTGTTTACTGCAGAGCAAAGTGAGTGAAAGATATGTGACTGTTAGACCAGTAGCAAGCTGGTCAAATATTCACATGTAACTGCAGTTATTCTCTATCTTCCTGAGTTCAGTATCTTATTTATATGTGCTAGAGGCTTTGCTAGTGCTCTGTGCAGCCATTATGTTGACCAATGTAGCTGCTGTTGGTGCTGAGGTATCAGTGGTGGAACAGCCTTTTTCAAAGGTTACCATTATGCCAGAATAATAGCTGTACAGTCTTTGTTCAGATGACCTTGCTACAAGCTGCTGCTGCTGTTAAAATATCTTAAAATAGGGGTCTAAAAAGCACTTCTCACATACTGACTTTCTAAAAGCAATTGAAGCTTCTAGATTTATAGTACCAGGTGAATTTACAGTTACACACTAATACAGCTTCTACCTAACAGCCACGTTTATGATCTAATTGTGCTGTTTAAGGTAATAGTAGCAAAATCACATTATAGAGCTACTGTATCATTGACTTTGAAAAATGCAAGAAGTCTTTAACATCCAGCTAGTTTTTAACTGAAGATATTTGCATGGAAAATTCAAAATTTCTGTTGCAAAGTCATAAGTAATATGCCAAAACAGTTCAGCTTTTATAGGACATCATGTACATACAGCAGATGCTTAATTTCTGTCTTTTAAGGTTATATTCCTCTACTTTGTTTTAGGAAGAAAATATGACTGTAACAGAAGATTTTAGTAGAGTAGAAAATACTTACCAAATGGAAGCAGAGGTATGTATTCAACCTAACCAAAAACAAAATAAAATAATAAGAAGTGTGTCAAGGACCTGTAAAAATTTGCAGACTATCTTTTCTCAGACCAAGGAACATAACAGCAGCATAGTTCAAAAAAACTATTTAAGGGCTGCAGTTTATAGCAGGGTTCAGCTGCAGTCTTCTGTTGTGTGCAGAACTTGTTTTCTTCTCAGGTGAGTGTGTGCTTTTTAAATGTTACCTGATGATACAGACTGGCGTATTTAGTTCTGGGGCAGTGGGAGCAAACCAACAGTTCTGAACTTCCCTTCACCCACAGCCCTTCCTGCTCTCTGCTTCTTGCAAGGAGTTGGTGAGTTCAGAAAGCTGCCCCAGTTAATAATCTTTTTTTTTTCCCCAGCTCAGCTTTCTTTTTTTTTTTTTCTTTTTTTTTTTTTTTTTCTTTTTTAATTATTTTACTCCTTGAACTGGGAGCAAATGCAAGATCTGCTTAGGCCACAGTTGCAGAGCAGCTGGATTTTGGTCAGTTCTACACAACTCTGCCATCAGCTTGCTCTAAGTAAAGTAAAGGTAATTGTTTCCTAGGTAATTGGCTCAGAATTTTGTAGGTAAAAAGTGTTCTGTGAAATGCAGATATTATAGGAATAAGCCCATTGACTTCAGTGTCTGCTAAGGGAAGTATATATTTGCACATTCTTGCCATAATAGGAAATAAATGCTGTGCTTTAAATGTTCACTGAGGGAAATTATGTGTATTCAGCTAATGTATTTTTTAGACCATAAAACTTTAATCACTACCCAGCAAGTTTAGAGATTCTTACAAAGTAAACCTGGAAGCCTGCAATAAAATGATAGCTGTTTTATAGAGCTGTGGTTTAGAGTCCTCTTAAACAAGTTCAGCCTCCTTAGTTTGTTTGCTTTAAGGCATATTCTCATCTAAATAACACCAATAAATACAGAAATGATTGAGAATTTGGAGAACAAAATTTGAATTTTAAAATAAATCATAAGATACTTAAATAGTGTGCATCAGTGTCATGTTCTGAATGACTTCAGCTTCCTCGTGGAGACAGCTACTACTTTGAGAGCTTAAATTACCATGTTTTTTAGATGACCTGTACTTAAAAATTAATAAAACTCTATTATTTATTATTATATGAATCATTGTTTAGGCTACAGACAAGCTTAGGCTTACAACTTCAGTCTTAAGTGGTAACTTAACCAATTATCCGTCTTCTGCTATTAGTTTTTATACAAGGATTATATGTGGAAGGCTAATTGCTTGGATTTAGTGTTGATTTGTAAGCAGCTTGGAGCAGCTGTGATTGCTGTTGCAAAGTTGTGTGGTTGCCTGGGACCCCGGGGGCTGGAACTGGAAGAATCCAGCCACAGTGCTGCCGTTTTGGCTGCCCTGCACGCTGAGGTAGCACTGTGGCTGCTCTTAATGCAGAGATCAGCCTCTCCTTGCTTCTGCCTTTAGGTATAACCTTGTTTCATTGGTGCAGCTTCATAAACAATGAGGTTCCATTGACAAGCATGTTTGCCTACTTTAGTAATATAAATGGATTTAAAACTCACTTTCACTCACTTCTCTGTTAAAGAGTTTGCCATTATATCTGTGTTATATGTAAAGTCTTGGACATCTTGCGTTACTTCATTCTGTAAACTCTTTACCGTTTGTCTTCTGTAAAGAATTTCTAGAAGACTGAAAAATTCCCAGGCATACAGCTATTTAAAAGTATAATGAAAAATTCAAGATATTCTTTCAACTGTAAGGAGATAATTTTAATTCATGCTATAACAAAGGAAAATATGCAGAAGAATGAAGTTGTGTGTAAGATCACAAAGCTCTATAATATCTTTATCATAATAGTTCATTTATTGCATAATGATCTCATGGGAGGAAGATTATGTTGGTTTTGTGCATTTCTTAATACACTTGCCTCTTTATAAACCGTAACTTCTTGTCATTTGCAGCCTTATCCGAACCTTGGAATGTCTCTAATAATTTTGCATAGCTTCATGTTATTTTTTCACACTTTTTAACCTTAATAACTGATGAAATTAAAATATTTATTTGCATTTTAATGTTCGAGTATTCTCTGTAATTGCAAGTGGAATGTATTAGATGTAGCTCTAAATGAAAATTGTGGGGTTTGTTTTTTAGGAGGGAGAAACAGCAAAATCAGCTACTGCTCAGTTGTTTTCTGCCCCTGAGGGTACCTGATCAAGTGCTTCTTTTTTAACAGTAAAGTTCCTGAGTGCCCAGAAGTGCCCCAGTCTGAAAAATTTATCTCCTGCTTAAGACCCATAGTTCTTTTGTTTCATCATTTTTCTGTTTCATTCCCTAGAAGGAGCAAATCTTGAAAACACTATGACAGTCCTCATAGTGAGACTTTCCACAAAATATAGCTATGACAGTTTTCTGGCAAAATATCACAGGGGCATGTATGCTTTTTATATATATGGCAAGAACTCCCACTGAAGAAAAAACTGTAGGTATAGCCTCATCTTCAGTCTCTGTTCAATTGACACTACACCTTTCAGAGCCACTGAACCAGTGCAAGCCAGGATAAGGTTCATGTACTACACCAAAAGGGGAGCATTAATTACTTTTTACCTTACTCTGTATATGAAGTAGTTCCCTCCTCACACACTGAGAGACTCTGCTTCCTTGAATTATCTCATTCTCCACAAGGTAAGTCTGGTATGCACACAGGAAGCTGCTGCAGTGCAGCTGACATGCTGTAACTTGGATTTGTGTGTCATAGCCCCTCACTGGGGTAGAGTTGTACATAGACTGCAGCAGCCATGGGGGCAACTGTATGTCCCAGGTAGTAGAATTTTCTTTACTGCAGGTTTTTCCTTCCACTCCTGTGGAAGCTGTATTAGTATGCAGAAAGAAGGGAGTCAGGGATAAGAAAGAAGGTGAACTTGACTCATGGTGAGAGCACTGTAGTGGAAGTGAAGATGAGGTTTTAGTTTTTTTAAAAAAGAGTTAGGGATCCAGGATTTCTGATTCCTGAATGCTGTATCAGCTCAGTGTCATTGCTTCAGTCCTGGCAGCTGTGCTTTGCCACAGAGAAAAACTGGCTTCTGCCTGGAAAGATGTGCCTGGATGAAATTTCCACCAGGAAAACTGTTGGGCTCTCGATCCAAGGCTGACAATAATTGCTGCTTCACAGCATTTGAGAAGGACCTGAATTCCTAATGCAACTTCATTTAATGCTTCTTAAAGCCAGGGACTGTTAGGTGTTTAAATTGTTTTTAATCCAAGTCTGAACTTCCCCCTCAGCCCAGTTCCCTCTCAGCACTGCAATGAGTCTGTTTAGACAACACAGGATTTGGAGCCCACTGCATACTGAACTGGGTTTGGTTTAGCTTAATCTCATAGCTGAGGTTTCTTTAATCTAATGCTTGGAATTAAAACGTACTTTTTCTTTGTGCACAGTGTTTTCCACATCATTTTGTATTGAGCTTCTGCCAGGATGCATCTAGTCATGTGCACCAAAGAACACATTCATTCATCAGATTGTCTGCATACCAAGAATTCCGTATTTCCTCAGAAAGGGATTTTGTAATCCTCAGTTTAAAACTATTTAAGAACTTCTTTCTGTTGCAAACCTAATGCTAGTCTCTAGGGTTATATAGAAGTCTTATAAGTTCATAAATGTTGGAGTTTTATACAGGACTGGTATGTTTAGTTACCTTGTAGATGTCTGGTCTTATACTGACTTAAATAAAAGTGTTGAGTCATAGTGGAAAATGAAAATATTACTCATGTGATGTCTGTTCACTCACTCCCAGGTCTGTATGATATTCAGTGATTTTGGAAAAATGCAGAATGTTTGCAATCTACTCATTGAAAAGTTAGGAACCTCTGTTACCATCAATCCACCTCATTTCTACCACACACCAGAAGCCATAGACACACTTCGGTAAGTTCTCTCAGATGCCAAAAATCTTACAGCCTCGGTTAATATGAATACATAATTGATGCTGTTTTCAATGGGAGCAAGTAGTTTCTTTTGCACCTATTAATATTTATGTTAGAGATTTCAGTATTTAAGTATAACTTATAAATTAATGCTGTTCAACCTAGTAGAATTTATTCTTGTCTATGCAAAAGCAGAATGTAATAAAATTTATTTTACCACTGATTTCCACTGGAGTATAATCTTCTGTGAATGTTAGGTCAACAGAATTTGGCTTTACTTACATCATCATGCGTAGATTTCATTTGTATTTATTCATGAAGGATGCAAGTGTGTCACCAGATGTTGATAATTTTAAGTATGCTTGCCAATGCCCATTACCCTTAGCTGACATGATCTGAAAAGAGCCATGTGTAGCACTTCCTCAGCATCAAAACATGCTGCCCTGAAGCTCACAATCTTGATCTGTTTTAAGCACTGACTAGTCACAGTCCAGGCTTCTCCCATTAAGTGGGAGGGACAGAAGGAAGTTAGTCTTGGTTGGGGTTTTTCCTCTTGTAAGAAAATAACTGCCTGCTAATGAAGAAGCAAGCTTAATTAGCTGCTGTTAAAAGTTCCAGAGATGCCAAAAGTGAATGTCAGAGGTATCTACAGGAGATCAGGAAATATGGCCAGTGATGTTAAGCAGGTGCTAGTACACCTTGCAGCTGAGCCACTGAATGCCTGGAGCAAGGGTTGAACTCCTGCTCTGCAAGACTCAGCATGGATGCCTGCAGCATGCAAGTTTTAGAAATGCTTGATCTCATCAGAATTTAGTGAGCATGCTGACATTTCCTCCACACGCTGTCCCCTCAATACCCAAGCTGTGGCTCAGAAGCTGGGGAAGGTGATGTGCCTTACATCTCTGCAGTTACAAAACCTGCGACGTTAAAAAGAAAGCTTGGCAGGAGCACTGGTACATCAGTTGAACCTGCTTGTTATTGTGCTGCTGCTTCCACCTCTCAGCCGCCAAGTGTGTGTCACTGCCGTTGGAAACACGCGCCAGAAAGCCCAGGAAGTCTGTCGACTGTTTGGCCAGGCATTGGGAAAGCCTTTATTGATAAAAGAAGAGGAAACAAAAGAATGGGGAGGCCACATAGACGGTCACCTGTTACACTCTGCTGATTCCGAGACTCTGCAGGAAAGAATCCAGAATGCTACTGCTTATGCTTCTTGTAGAGTGTTTGCTGTGTTTGAGATAAAGGGAAAAGAAAACAGGAGAAACAAGTTGCTCTAGAAATCTTCAAATCCTACACATCTTAATAAAATTTTTATGCTTTCTTGTGCCTTTTGATATTTTTTTTTTACTTCATTCTTGTGGTAAGTCCATCCCCTAAAATGCAGCTAATTCTGAAAGTAAGTTCACAACTACTTATTTTTATTCCCTGGCCCCTGTAAAACAGCAAGATATTTGATGTGCAAAACGTTTGGCACACCTGGCTGAAACTGCACTGCATATACACCTTTACTCCCAAAACTGGACAAAAATTAATTCCCATTGCTGAGTCACGGCAAACTGAACATGCATTGTGTTCGCTTCTGACAAAATTGAGTGTCCGACATAAAACCTGCTTAGGAATCCTTTATTTCATCATAGGAAAAAATATACATTTTATCCTGGTGTCTGTTTGCTCAAGTTTAAAAATGGTATCTGTTGTCTGGACATACATTACATGTACAGACACTGAAGTACTCAGTCATGAGGGTAGAGTTTTTTCAACCATGGCTGCATAATGTATTTTGATCCATCATATCCAGTGAAGTAGGTTTCCATATCAGGGTGATACAACTGAGAAAAAAAATTTCCAGTTGAAGAAGCATCAGAATTTGCAATAAATATAAACCGATACTTAAACTAACTATTGAAGTTACTACATTGTTTGAAAACTCCTTATGAGTTTTTAATGTACATAGAGGTAGTTTCAATGGCATTTTCTGTGTACCATAACTGAATATCTGTCATCAGAATAGCAGCTCTCTCCAAGTACTTTATAAATGTTGAACAGATCTCACAAGATGTTACAAACTAGATTTACACCAGCATCAGTGTTTCAGCAGTGTTTCTTACTTCTGTAAGAAACACTCATGTTGCTAGTAAGTCACTCGTGCTGCTGTTAGAGGTATTTGGTATTTATTTTAGCTGCATCAGTTACCTAATTCAATGAGGTAGCAGGAACAATAAAGAAGCAGTGGGGGAAGTGGTGAAGACAGACCCAGGTGATGGCCTTAGGTCCAAAATGAAGATACAAACCCACCAAGGACAATCCAAGCCTTGTCTTGATGCAGGAAGCCCACAGTGAGTGGCTCAGAAGTGTCAGCTGGGAAAAGGTCATGACAAGTCTAGATCTCTCAACTCTTCAAGAAATTACTGTGACTATTAGAGTGTACAAAAGGCTGAGTGAGGGCAAGCCACAGACCTTTTGAACTTGAGGCATGACTCACCATCTGTTATTAATCTCAACTAGACAACTTTGAAATACCTGGTTTTGTGAGCTTGTTACCAATAGTTTCTCTAATAATCTACATGGAGAATTAAACTGCTGCACAGGTGAATAAAGCAATTTATTAAAACCTTAAAAGCTAATTCCACAAAGTAAACATTTAAGATAAAGTATCTGCTTCTCCCCGTGGAATAGAAAGGAAACTGAAGGTAGCCAGCTAACTGGCATAGTGAAAGGTGCGTTTTTTAGACAGTGTGGGCAGAATCCAGTTTTAAATATTTATGATATTCATCTGGAACAGCATAATTTCTATTCCTAAATTCAAGCATGTTAGCATATTCTATATTACAATTGGTCGCTAAACCAGAATGGGCTGAACTAAGGCTTCTCCCAAATAAAAGAGGTGATTGTGTCACACTGTGGTTGAGAGGGGTCCTTTATGTGCAGCAGCACAGTTTTGAGAGAGAGCATAGAGAGTCTTCAGGTCAGTCTGCCTTACACAATTCCTTTGAGAGGTTTTCCCAAAAGGCAGAGGAATGTGCCAATTTTAATCTGCTCTGTTTGACTAGACAAGTATCTCCTGTTAGGTGAATTGTTGCTCTACTTGCTGTTATTTTAAATACAGACCCTGCCACTGTCTGTCACAGAGGAGGCATCCACAACAGCATAGGCTCCCTTGCAAAAAGCCACCTGTATGTGGCATGCATGCCTGAAGGCTGTTTTCTGGCTTAGAGTCTCAAACTAGTTTAAAAATCAGGTGTGCCTTGCATAAGCCAGGAATCAAAAGCTACTTCAACTCTGATACACAAAACAGAAGTTTTGGCTCCCAAAGAGTTTTGCAGTTAAGAAAGTAGATATTCTTCAGTCTGGGCAGCAGCTGAGCAGGAGCTGTTTGAAATGGAGATTTTTCAAAGTAGAATTGAGAAACCAACATACTTTGCTAGATCCCCAGAAATCACAAAACAAAAGTCAGTGTCTGCAACAGCCTATATATAGTGGAAACCAAGTTGCTAAAACACTTACTAACCTCAGGAGTCGGCTACTTTAAAGTGGATATTACCTGAGTGTGGTCATTTTTTAGCTTCAAAAATCCATGCTTGAAAATACAGCAGTAATTTATCTGCTTTCTCTATTGGTTTTCATTAACTTTGCATCCTAGCTAGTATCTATTAAACCAAAGGTCAGCCAACTTTTAAACATACAGAATAACAATCAAGTTGCAACTGAATAAAAATAAATACTACCTCCAATCCCATAATAATTGTTATCTCTTCCTCAGGAACATAAGCTGTAGATTTGCCAAATCCATTTGCTCTGTTAATTAGAATTCTATAGTGAGGAGTATCTTTTAGATCCTGTAAAAATGGACAGAAAATAAATAGCCTCAAAGAGACATGATGACTAAAGGTTACATATTATAATCAGTAAACATTCAGTGGGTTTACAGAACCTAAATCCACTTGAGATACATGTGTGTGTGTGTATATATACAGCCAGTTCATTTTTATTATTTTACCAATATCGGAATAAATATAAAGCAATCAGAACTGCAACACACAAAGTTCTCGACATATTTGAAACATTTTTTAGGAGTCAAGAGTTTAATTAACCTTTTTTCCCACAGACCTTGCAAGAAACGAGACTTACAATATCCTTGCTTATTGTACCTAGGCCCCATGGCCATCTGCTACTGTCGGAATCTATGGTATTGATGATTCCGAGATTGTAAAAAAGCGCTGTCTTTCTGCCCCATTGCCAAAGAAGTAGTCATAATTCATCTGTGCTGTTTTCAAGGTTGTTTATTCTTGCTTATCTATAACATGTTCTGCTGCCCTGCCGCAGGTCTGTCCTGCAGGGCAGCGTGTGGGGCTCTGCCCCTCAGTGGGATGTTACAAACATTATATACCAGAAACTACCTGTGCTATATTTACAATAATGTGCCAATATCTATCATCTACATTGAACAATGTGTCCCCAGCCTAAACCAATAGAAAAATGCCAACACTACAGTGAAACATGGAGGGCATGAAGAAGGAGAAAAAGGACAAAACACACCCAATTTCCTCCATCTTGTCCCCTTTAAACCCCTAATCTAGAAACCTAAAATTTTATTTTTGCACCCATGCCACACTTAATTATTACTCACAGCAAACACTCAGAGCTTGTAATTCATCCCGTAAGATTGAAAACACTTTTCCATGGACAAAGATCAGAGACAGTGTCTCTCGGGGCTCTGTCCAGGGGGGTTCCCAACCCCCTGCCAGGGTCCCAGACCTGCCAGGGCAGCCAGAGGGAAGCCCTGGATTCCCACATGCTACCACCCTTCTTCCTTCACCAGTGACAACTAAACTCCAGAGAGGAAGAGACAAATTCAGAACATAATGATTAGTGTCTTCCTGCCAACAACCATGGTCCTGTTTCTGGAAAGAGCTAGGGCAACTTCTATGTGTCTATATATGAATCTTCCAACAAAGAAGTGCCTATGAAAACAAATCCTAGGCCAGGGAATATGGGCCATGATAT